TCATCTGAAATTCGCTTTTATATTAAAAAAAAAAATATCTTTTTCGAAAATTTAAAAAAAAAAATTCATTAAGTGGAAAAGCAGAAATCATTCTACTTATAATTTTAAAATTAATATAGATTATTAGGATTGAGGGTTATAAATTAAAAAAAAATAATTTGTAAGCCTTCTTATAACAATTCATTTTAACAAAACGGAAAAAAATGAATAGCTTATATTCTTTAAAACTCGGTTTATTGAGCTGTAATATTTTTACTGTTATGATGTCTTGCTTGAAAATGATAAATCAATATATGAAGCCATGGCACAAAATGTTCTGGCATAGGAGATTGTAAAATTGATGCTAAAATAAATAAATTATAACAGTCTGTCTATATTGCAAATCCCAAAGACGTAGCCAGGATTCTCTTAATAATTAGTGACTTCTCACCCATTGATTAAGGGTTTAAAGCTCAATTTTTGAAGGACTATGGGCGGATTAAATTTTTTAAAAATAAATTTGTGTTTTACAACTTTTTTAAAAATTTCAGTTATAGCAATTTTATAAAATCTTAAAATATTGTTTAAAATGACATAATATATTTATTTTGGGGGAATGGTGGAGGGGGGGGGGGGTAGTATTTTTCATTAGCTTAAAATGATATTTATGGATACTTGCAAGCTTACCTTTTACTAATCACCTTACTTGACAAAAAATAAAAAAATGAGATTTTTCTAGTCGTAATAAAATATTTCAAAAAAGGAAACTGTATACATCAGATATTTGGTTTTATGACGATAATAACGAAACAGCGGAAATTGAAGTGATTCTATATAAAAAAAAATTGTTTACTGGATAAAAAAAATTGTTGCATTATAATGTAAGAACTGCTGGCATCCGTGAATTTTAAAAATTTGGCATCCTTACAAAATTCAATAAAAACTAAATTATATAATTGCACTATAAAATTATAACATTATTCGTATTAGAAATCAAATCCTGGCCTAACGGATCCATAATGATTGTAATGACGTTTCAGGCCCGTATTAATTATTGTCCAGCCCATAAAAAATTTTGTTAGAGTTGTCCACCCTGACAGTACGAAAAATATTTGACAGCAATTAAGCGATCAGGCTTTAAAAATGGCTTATATTTCTAATTCTTATAGCTAAAACAGGAAAAAAAGCATTAAAGTGCTATGTTTAAATTTATAATTTTTTTAATTGTCATTTTATGATTTATATATAGAATGTGAAAGAAAGACCAATTTTGGCCAAAGAACATGTCTTTCTCAAGGAATTCAAGTTGGCAACATAAGTAATCGATTATACTTATCGTTTAATGGTAAGTGCTGGATAATCGCAAATAACTTATAAATATATTAATAAGCATAGATGTAATTAAATAACTTTGATAATAAACAAAAACAAACAAAGCAATTTATAAATTTCAAAGTTAAAAAAAGTCATTAAGGTCGTTTTTTTTAAATATTCAATTCGATTATATAATGTAGGCATAATAAAAAATTTAACAAATAACAAAATCTTTTTTGGTGCACTTAGAGGGCTGTTGTGAGCGGGGTTTTAGCCCGTTCACCCTTATTTGGGTGGGCAGTTTAAAACAATATAACTTTGGCTGGCAAGTGGGGGGGGGGGGGAGGGGGGAGTGAAAATTATTTTTATAACAATGAGCAATCGGGTGTGTGAATGAATTTAAAATATTTTAGGGTGAAATGAACAGAACGAGCTTTATTTTTAAAAATTATTTTTTTTATTAATATTGCATATTTTATAAGTTTATGTAAAAATATATTAAATTAAAAAAGAGGCAAACCAATCAGTCAAATAATTTTAAAATATTTGGCGGATGAGCGGGTTAAACAGACGTTTTAAATAAATGGCGGGCTGGTAATTTTTTTAAACTATAAACGGGAGACGAGCTGGTTAAAAAAATTTTAAATAGTGATCAGGTAGGCTTTTAGGTTAAAATACGCTCACTGCAGACCTCTAGGTGGACTCTCAAATTAATTTTAAACGACTTTTTCTTAACAATCAAAACAATTTTCCAGCTCTTATTATTTCAGACTTGCAAGAAAAATGTCATTTTTTTAAAAATCTTTGGGCGTGATAAAAGAAACGTTTCGCTCAAGGATTGCTAATAATGAATCCAGGCGTTCTGAGTATAATTTGTCTCTCCCCATGATAAAGTCAAAAGGTTAAATTATGATATAACTATTCAAAAAATTATGCCCTTTGGTATTTTTAATTTTCAGAGATTACATTTTTTTGGCCATTTGAGTTTATCGTTTGGGTAATATTTTTTAATTTTGTTTTTCAAATAAATTTTATGAAAAAAAATATTTTCTACGATAATTATTTTTTATAAAATGTTGAATTAACAAATTAAGGAATCAAATTAGGAATATATTTTACTGGTGCACTGCTATCCAATTTCGCCATTATTACATATCGTCGGCCAGTGTCTTAACCATGGGAGGTTTGGGGGGCTAGTGTTATAGTGTTCTATATCCATTTTTTTTAAATGGTTCAGGAATAACATTTAAAAAGTATATTTCTTGCATTTTAATTAAGAGATCACAATGTAAATACAAATAAAAGATTATCCTCAATTATATTTCCATTTTTATCGTGGATATATTTATATGGATGCTTAGTTAATCTGAGGTTAACTAAGCATTCTCTATTTTTTATTTAGATCGGATTTTACACGAAAATTAAGGCCAAGTTTTTAATACTTTTATAGCTAGATGTTATTAAGAGTACCTTTTTAGCCATGCCGCATGGGCGTCTATGAACACATTTTAAATTTTTTTAGCATTATAATATAAAATTATAATTTAAAAACAAACATTTTTTCTATTAATAAATTTAGTTTCGAACATCCAGCATCATCTTATTCAACCCATTTTCTTCGAAAAATCAGACGGTGGGAGCCTATTTCTAAAAAATATAACTTTTCCAAAGAAATTTATCCTACATTTATAATTTTACAACAAATTCTGACTTATTGCAACTCTTATTTATAACCATAAATTGAGAATAATTTACAAATATATATAGGTCCCTCCAACTATTCATGACACGTCAAACGCTTTTGTTTTCAATTTAAAGAGTTCGATATAATATGATGTCAAAAAGTTTGTTAAATATAAAAAATAATTAATATATTGCTGAGAAATGATAACTTGATATTTATTTTGTTGGGAAATTATTAAAAATCAAAATTGTTGAAATATTTGAAGCTGCATAACTCTCCTTTAGCTTTAATATTTCAAGGCAGTTTCCAAGTCGAGAGACTCAACTTCTTCATATTTATTTGATTTTGGCCTTCATTTCAAGTCTCTTTCATTATTTTCAGTTAGTCCGAATGATTAAATTGTAATTATTACAATCTATATGGAATTGTGGAAAACTTGACTACCTTTTAAGATGGAAAAAATTTCGACTCAAAATTTCAATAACATCTAACAAAATGATTAAAAGATTAATTGCAGGAAAAATAAAACAGAAATTTCTTGAGTTTGACATTAAAAGATAGGTAATGTGTATGTGTAGTATTGTAATTATATTTTACATAATTTCGAATTTAATTTATATTTACAGAACTAGGAAGGGATTTTTGGACCCCAAGCTTATTATTCTCTATCTGAAAAACAGGCTTCCTGGCAAGAAAACTCGGAGATTATGCGACGCATAATTGACGTAAGTTTCTATGAGGCGAGGGGACCAAAGGGCAGAATGAAATTTGATATTTTTTGTAAAATTAAACAAGCAGATAATTTTACAAAAGTAAAAATTCTTGAATTAAATTAACGGATAATTGGTAAATTTGATTTTTGTCCTCATTTAATCAAATCCGTTGAGCATCCTAGAATTTTACTTGAAAATTTTATACAAGAAGCAAACATGCCTTGAGTTCAGAGCAAGGGCTGATCAAAGAAAAAATATGGACCAGTAAATTCAAAAAATATTTAAATGTGAAATCTAACCGTAGTAGAAAATAGTTTATCTATCCCCGCTGGTAATATTATTTTAAGCAATGGCACGTAATTCTTATCATTCGAGCTATATATGCTTAATTTTTTTTATAGCTTGATAGAAAATTTAGGTACGCTCGATAATAAGGTACTTTGAAGTCCTTATCGTTACTATGACAATTTTTACAATTTTATTTTTATTAAAATTTTAGCAACATGCCAAATTTCTGATATTCTTTTATTATCGATTCTTTTTAAAGTGATCAAAAATTCTTTTGTTATTGATTCCTTTCAAAATGATCAAAAATTATTTTTCATAAATATTATTCTTGTTTAATAGGTCATGGGAAAGACAGAAGAATTCATTTTATAATGATAAATAAATTTTAGGCACAATAATTTTTAAAATAATTCTTTTGGCAGATTCAAAAAGTTTTCGAATCGATAGTGACAAAGTGTTGAAAGATGATATCTATTATAACAATAAATTTTTGTTAATTTTAGTCCGGAAAAAGCTATATAATTTAAGAAGTAAATAATGAAATAAACGTTAAGTTATATCTATACTTAATTTTTGACATTTCTAAATAGCTTCTTAATATGACAAGCTCCCAGTGACTGTGGATATGATAATTTTTATAGGATGTTTGGGTATAGTTTAAGACTAAATGATATATTAATTAGTGCAAGAGCATGAAAACTTTTATAACCGTTTAACTATATAAAGGAACCTGTCAATATTTTTATACCCTATGTTTTTATAGATTAGGTATATATTACACTTAGTTTTAAAGATTTAAAAAGTTAATTTAATAATAGAATTTGTATCATATAATTATAGATCGATCTTGGCAATTTGTAGTATAAAATTTATCAGTTAAACCATATAATACATATGAATATAAGCTCAACGCCTTTCATCAACCTACCAAAATTTAATACTTAATCTCCTTTTTTTTTACTTAAAAACGAATATATGAAGTAAAAATTTGATATAAATGTTTTAAAATTGTTTTTATTAACCTATTTTGGCGAAGCTGGCAAGAAGAACCCAAACGGAGAGCATAAATGGTTTTTCAACATGCCCGTACTCAACAGCCGCAACCCGATAGCGAACTTCTTCCTTTGCTGATGCCGGGTCATGATGAGAGGAATCAATGGTGACTATCGAATTATGAGAATTTACTAAACTCGAAGACTTTTGCCTTTTTTCAAAAAAGCCCGAAGTAGGTTTACTGGTTAAAGCGAGTATTAAAAGTATCAATATTATCGATATTTGGTTATTTATCACCATTTTTAAAAAAATATTTGCAAGAAAAAAGAATACGGAAAGTATAAAAAAGAAATTTGTTAGCTTTGAAGAAGGTAGAAATTTTAATCAAATCTGCATATTATATCAAAATATTAGTTCGTTGTTCATGGTTTAGAAGATTTCTTTATAATTTCCATTATTTGCATCCATATATTTTTCTCTTCGCGTTCTTTAAATATTATAATTTCAAACAAAGATAAACCATTAGAGTTTTTTGGGACAAAGAGCAATTTTGTTTTCATATGTAATTATATATAGTGAAAGAGGGGAGGGCGGATGTTAGTATTTTTTATCGATAATGCCCTTAGAATACATTTTATATACGATGCTGGAGAAGTTCTATTGATTTCATGATATTGGGCGGAAACGGATAAACCCTTGACAATGATAGTCTATTATGTTCTTTTTAAAATAATGATATGATATAAATCAATTATATACAAAAAAATAATATATAAATAAAATAATTTTCAAATTTATTTTAACAAATTCAAAGTATCAAATTTTTTAAAAATATTATTGATCAGTTTTTGGTTCTATTTTCTGCCATATAAAAAATATTTATTATATAATATAATATAGATATGAATTAGTTTATACCAAATCGATTAATATACTTTTTTTTTAAATGGCATCAATTTATATTTAGTATATATTACTCTTTTTAAACTGAGAGACAATTATGAGGTTTTTTTTAAAATGAAGACGAAATTTTACGATTGAAAGTAAATTGAAAAGAAAATTTTACGATTGAAAGTAAATTGCTTTATTTTTGTTAACAGTTAATAAAAAGTAATTTTATTGCCCTTTAATATTCTTCATTTTTAAGCTTAAAATCTTGTTTGGCTAACTTTCATGTACTTAATGTCAAATAATAATAATATTTCCAATCATTTCAGTCTTTCTCTTAATAAGTAAGCAGCATAAATAATAAAAAGTTTTGAATGGAAAAATATGCACAGCCTCGGGGTTATAAGCCTTTTTATACATATTAATAATTATGTTATAACACAATTTTTGTAAATAAAATTTTATTTAGAAGTTTTATGAGATTGTTAATATTGGTAATTGTCAATTTTTTAGTCACTAGTCTAATAAATTTACGAAATTATAATGTTCAATAATAAAAATCCCCTCTCCCCCCCCCCTAAAGTAAATTTCTGACTATTTAATAACAAAAATAACTCCTTCTATACTATATAACATTAGGTGTTAAATAGTTTATTAATATTACAACTTTTACAATACCATAAAAATAGGGAATATGAGGGTTCAATATGGGAAAAAATGGTTTAAAATAAGCTAGAAATTAATGGATTAAAAAGATTGAGATTATGCATCTAAAAACAGCACAAATTTAGGCAATGACTAGTTTTTGGTTTCTGCCTACGAGTTAATAATGATTGGTTTCAAAATGACCGTAGTTATATTAAATATTCAAGACCTACCAATTTTTTGGGGAGTTGCAGGAGGGGGGGGGGTTATTATTCTCAAAATTTTTTCTATCGGGTTTTTTCCCACCTTTATGTTTTTCGGTGTTAATTTTCCTAAGCTTTTTCTCCCTGGATTTCTGGAAGCTTTTTTCTCCGGGAAGGTTTTATTACAGGAGCTATTTTTCCAGGATTTTCTCTATTAAATCTTTTCCAGATTTCAATTTTTATGGGTCTTTTCCCCTGGGTTTCTTTCTGGCCTTTTCTCCAGGGCGTTTTTTTATTAGTAGGGCTATTTTCCTGGTTATATTTCCAATATTTTTATTCCAATTACCGTTTTTTGCGTTTAAATCTTCATTCAAGAATAATATTAATTTTTTTTAATGATATTTGTAATTAGAAATTTGGGCGGGCCGTGAAATTACGCGTGACCCATCGTGTCACGGCGAGTCACGGCGTGAGTGTGAATATATTTTAAATTATTAGGCGTGACTGGGCGTGACGGGCCTTCCCAAAATTTTTCCCGAACGTGATCGGGCGTGAACATAAATTTCCCGTGAATCACGGAAATTTTAATTTTTATTTTTTTTATAAACATAAATTTGTTATTTCTAATTTAATTTAGTTCTTTTTTAAAAAAGAAAAATTTTTGAAAACAAAAAATATTCCGGCATTTTATAAACAACATCTGGTGTCACGCTCCTAGTTCTATTTTCTTTTTATGTTTAGGTGTTTTGTCGCGAGATTTTTTACTTAAACTTTAAAATTTATTCTCAAGCACATAAGGTAGGCTTAATACTAGATCCTAATTTCAAAAGCCCTAAGTTTTTAATAGACGAAGAAAAGGAAGATATTTACAAAACAATCTTAAAAATGTGAAATGATATAAAATTGATGATATATATGCATAGGTCAATGCCAACTGTTTTTAACTACTAATTCATCCTAAATTCATAAAAAACCATATATTCTAAATGAAACATATTTTTAGATGATTCTGATGAAGCATCAACATCTACCGATGAAAGCTGTATGAATTTAAAAAATTCATCCCATAAAACAAATAACAATGGCAATATTTTTAAGTTTTGGAAGCAGAAAATTTATTTATTAATTTGAGAAAATTAGAGAATAAAATTTTGTCAGCCCTGGCAAATTCGGCTTCTAATGGAAGGTTATTTTTTGTAGCCAATCACCTATTAGAGGAAAGGTGTACACAATTGAAATAAAAAAAAATAGACATTCATCTTTTTCTAAGTAAAAATTTGGATTTATAATAAGTATTTATTTTTTGTTATTATGGATTATGGAATTAAAGAAATAAATAGAATAAATTCAAAAAAGTGTAAAAAATTATAGCATTAAAGTTTTGAAAAATTTAAAAACACCGTGAATTTTCGGGCGTGAAGGGCGTGAATCAAAATATTGCCTTTCGTGAGCAGGCGGGTCCGGTCAAAAATGTTTTAGTGGTAAGCGTGAATGGGCGTGAATATTTATTGCCACCGTGGGCCGTGAATAAAAAATTAGGCCCGAGCCCACCTCTATTTTATATAATTTGTCAATTGTGGCTAATGGAAGAAAGGAGGTATTTATTTCAATGTTTTATGGGTTATTGTTTAAATTTTTGTATAACTTAACAGATTACTATTATTATTATGAGATATAATTCAAAAATATATGGTTAAACTATAATTTCTAAAAATTAATAGTATCAGATAAAAAAATATACATATGTATATTATTAATTAAATAAGATAATAAATACATTGGCAGAGAGGGGGCTTCTCTCCCAAACTCCTATTCGCTCCCACCTACGGCAGGTTTAGTATAAAAAAAGATTATTAACAACAAAATTTTGGCCCACCTTACGATTTAATCTAAAAATTTTATCAACGTTTATGGTATATTATATTAATCCATTTGATAGACAGTACAGTATAAAGAAAAAAAGTTATTACCCAAAAATTTCCAAAAATGACATCATGGCAGAATGGATTATATAGAGAAATAAATATCTGGTTTGAATCAGTTTTGTGAACCACAAAAAGAAACTGAATTATAAACAAAATGAAAACTATTAGACATAAACTGGGTCAAGCTTTTGGAAATACTAATTCGAAACTTATACCAAACCATTAAGTAGTGCTTAATTAGTACATTTTATTGCTTTAATTTGTTTGATAAATGGTAAAAGAAAAGGGAGGACAAGGAATTTAAAAATATTAAAACGGGCCCAGTCCGGGCTATTACATAAAAAAATGCGGGCCAGACGGGGTTGGCAATTTATATATAAAAATCAGGCAGAGTATCGCAAATCTGTGATTTTACATAAAATTTTAATACAGCAAGATATTAAAATTTTAAATTATTTTTTTGAATTTCAAACTAATATTTTGATTTTCGAAAATAAATTAAAATATGCTTATTTCTTTGTTGAGAGCTGTCTTACTAAAATACTAAATAATATAGTAAATTAACAAGAAACAAGTTATTTATGATAAGATTCAATAACAAATACACAATATAGATATCAAACACGATGATTTATAAATGGTTGTTGTAGAACTAGATAGGCATAGAGATAGAGGAGAGATATAAAAACTTATTTGACATTGGAAAACAAAATTAATGAGAATGAGTACATTTTTTTAAATAATAGGCAGAGGGAGGGGGTATTAAAACTATTGGCGGGGGTCGTATGTCTGATATAGAGACCCTTATTACAAAGTTTAACCAACAAAATCGTAAATTTTAATTATTTCTTAAACGTTGGTGACTTGTGGACCTATTTTTTTTTAGATTCGACTCGATCCCAAAATAACAAAATTTTGTCCTACCAATCCAATTTGAATTTTCTTATTTGGATTCAGACTCGGATCGGTCCATGCAAGCTCTAACTAACCCTTTTATATTAGGAAATAAATGAAACCAAAGTATTAAACGGAAAAGAAATAATAAATTCAAAATGTATAATTTTTTTATAGCTTTTCAAAACTGTGAAATGTTTTATATAAAATAAATTATAACATCAATATATCATGATATTTTATGGCTATTTCGTTTAATATAAAATGGTTTTCAGTTTATATATCATTTATTATATTTTGATGTCATATTGGACTCGATTTTTTTTAAATATTATGAAAATAATAATGATATATGGTATTTATATAACTAAATGTGGGGAAAATTGCTGAAATTTTTAAATATTTGCATTAAATAATTAATTCGATCCAATATTACATTGTAAGAATTCTCTTTGATAATAATAAAAAAAATTAAGCAAGATTTGTTGATTAACCTCCCAAGTACACAATCACTATGCTCATCGTTTTAAAAAAAATATCTAGGCATCTTTAAAATTGATGACAAAAGCTCTAATATAATGTTTTCATTTTACTCTAGGGATCTACTCCTTACCTAGGACTTCACTTACATTGATCTAATTGTTCGATCTAATCATAATCTAATGCACTTGCGTTTGCAGAGAATTTTGCAAAATAGTCAAATACAGTTCCATTTATCTTTCTTATGCAATCACACTTATGGTAGCAAAGAACCTTTTTCAAAAACCAATGATATATTAACGGCAAAAACTTACCTTAGCTTTGGTTCGATCCAATACATCCACATTTCTAATAATTGATATTATCTTCTCTTCCCTCTACCCCTACTCTTTACCTTTTGAGCAGTGACCCAGAATAAACTGAAAATCCGATAAACCATTATAATTTCCCGGATCGTTATATCAAAATTGTAAATGGGTAAACTTATGAACCGAATAGATATAAAATCTTTGAGTCAATTCAAATTGGGTTTGAAAAAGATAGCTTTATTTTTTTTGATTTAATTATTGAAAAAAACATCTTTTCTATTTTTCTTTAGCCGATAAAATTAAAAATTATCTAGCTTATAAATTTTATACCTTTTAATTAATTTCATTTCAACTATCATTATTATCATAATATAATA